GTCCCTGCCTGCCTTGTCCCCAGGGGCTGTGCAGCTCTCCTGGAGCCCCTGCAGGCCCTGGCAGGGGCTCTGAGGAGCCTTCTTTTGTGCAGGTGAACACCCCCATCTGCAGAGGCGCTCCAGCCCTTGGAGCATCATTATTTCTTAATTATACTACAATTGTTCTGGTTTCAGATCCTTGTCATTCAAATCCCAAGAGCTTGGTGCAGCTCGGGACAAACGGCACCAGAAGTGCTATTGCTGTATTACCATTCTATACTCTCACACTACGCAAATACACAAAGATAAATTAATTACATTACAAGAAACAGAACATACATGGCACAGTGTACATCAGAGAAGTGTCTAAGAGCTTGATAGTGAGTACATCTCTGGTCTGCAGAGATACTTATCAGACACAATGTATTTCTGTACCAAGGCAATTACGGCAGAAGGTGAGTTTTTGTCATAAAAACTTGAAAACTCTCAAAGGCGACACTGAGACACTGGTCAGGCAGCATCAACCCAATTTCAAACCAGCTTCTGTGGTCCTTGTAGCACCCAAGCACAGATTTTGGGCAGGATGAAGCTGCTCTGGCACCAGTTTGCTGTGCAGCTCTTGCAGACTGCCCCTGCCACAGCTACACAACCAGAACACTCAACTATTCTCAAAGCACCTGTGCTTGAACTGCAGCCACACACTTTGCTCTGTGTCAGGCACATTGTCACAGGAACTAAGTGAAAGATTAAAGATGTGGAAACTTCCTCAATCTTCCTATTCAGACAGGGGAAAATATCACAGTTACAGCATCAAGAGCACTTACAGACTGTAAGCAAGAAGGAAAATGAACAGACAGAACGGGAAAAGAAAGCTCAAATGTACATTTCCATTGTGGTGGGCATGAACAGGCAATTAAGCATTGACTAAGCACTAGAGACAGACACCAGACCTGTGACACATCACAAAAAGGATCTGGAAGGTAGAAGCAAGCAGAGTGAAGCATCTGCTAGCAGAAGTAAAGGTTGGTGAAACCATAACAATAGGAAATAACTGACATATTGTTAGTATCTTTTTGTGTCTCTCTACTTTGATATGTTTTAATGTAGATATTACAAATCAGGCCACACAAAATTGAAGAGGAAAAAGATAGTAACATAAAACACTAAATATTAATAAACAGTTTTCTTGTAAAGTTAAAAACTACCATTCAAATGCTTCTATTAACCAGAGAGCAGCACCAAAAAAAAAAAAAAAATAGAATAAGCTATAGTGTATATAAATCACAGATATACAACGGAGGTCTGACACCTTCAGGTACCCTAATGCTGAACAGCACAGTGCAGAGTAAAGCATATACTTGCCTGATATAACATCATCAATGGCCAGGAATATTTCTCTAGCTCCAACCAAAGCATACAGACATGAGAAAACAAGCCATCAGTGATCACTACACACTGAATTCTGCAATTTCTATTAATGCTACAACAGTGCATTTGTGTGGCAGATTAGTTATGATGATGACTTGGGTGATTAATGAAGCTCAATCCGGTCAGTGACTCTGCTTGAGCTCCTTACAGATACAGCATTGTACCCCTCACATCTATAAACACCCCAACAGCACAAACCAAGTCAATAAGATCCCACTGTTGCAGTAACTCCTCACTTCTGCCAGATGCATTAGTGTCTGGAGTTGTTTTTAATAGCAAAGTATAAACTGGATCAACTATTTCAAAGGAAACCATCTAAATTGACTTATTTTTCAACAGTCTTGAGTAGCACTATCATTTCCCTGTCTTAGCACATCATCTGCTTGGCAGTTCCTCACTCTAACAAGGATTCTATTTTGCAAGCAATAAAATGACTAATTTAAAAAAAATATTGCTTGTCCACAAAAAGTTGTCTCAACTTAGATGACTGTAGACTATGAATTGGCAAATGTTAAGAAATCTCAACAAAAAAGAAGCGGGAACTTGGAGCCAGCAAAAAAACTTGGGTTTGAGGGTAAGTTGGTTCAATGTGCTTTGTGAACCAAGAATAATTAATTTCTGGTTTCCAATAAATGAGTTTCTAATATCTAAATTCTACTGCCATGGATATTAATGTCATTTATGCTTCACAACACTGCCCCAGATCTAGCAGCACTTTACAATTACTGTGCACACCTACTGAAAGACCACAAAGACAAAGCAAAGTTGACTCAGTAGAGAAAAATCTCCTTTATGAAGTCACAAAAATAAATACCATTATTTTTCCCCTCCTTCCAAAACCACCATTGTTTCTTTAATTATTGGAGCATAACAGAATTGGCAGGACAATCCAATCCAGGTATTTTATATCCAGGACAGAAAAAGGTCCTTGCACAGAGGTAACCTGGATCCAGACAGAGGCCAAACCCAGAAGTAATTGGTGTGAGGATGCTGGTTGTGTGGTTTCAGAGTTAAGGAAGCTCAGGAGAGGAAGAAAAACAGGCTACGAAGGATGAGAAGCAGGAGAAGGTTAACTGTGGGAAAGGGTAAAATTCTACTCATATCGTGTATAATTATCACTCCTGCTGAATCACAAGGAAGGAAAAGGAGGGTGGATCTAAAATACGGTGCCTGTAAGAGTTTGTTGATCTCCTGCTGCAGTGCAAGTGACTACAAAATAAGAGTAACATTATACATGATAATTTAGATGACTGTGGTATCAAGTAAAATAATTAACATGTACAATAATTATTTTAGGCCTCGAAATGTCATATTAAAAATACTTTTTTTTAAAGCAGGTTCCTATCTCCTTTCATCCTACGTAGATTGTATTTAGACTATTTCAGTAAACTTACTTTAAGCATTATGTGGTATTTAAAAGGCACTGAGCAACACAGAAGTGAGTTTTCAATTCCTCCATTCTTTCAATTTCTATCATGTAAAGATTACAAAACACAAAAAAGTAATGCAATACAGAAATCACATCAAAGTTTTCCACAGGTGTCTATTGCTCAAAATTCCCTTTTGTTCCCTAACAGATTGTCACCTCGTGTTGCTGCATCTTCATTTGTGCTGTGCTCTACCCATGTACCTGAGGCTACATGAATCAAAGTATTGATTTGATAAGAGTTAATTCAGAGATAAGACAGGTAAATACGCCATTTACTCTACAATCCTACTGTGCCCATGTTTCACCTATAGTCCAACATCATATACAGGCAAATACTTTTTTAAAAATCTCAAGCAACTGTCTGGGCATGGACAGAAAAAAACATTTCTGTTTTTTAACAGGATGTGGTACTCCTTTTTTCCCTTTTCCCAGGCAGGAAATTAGAAACCTCTTTAAAAAGGCTCCTCTTCTTAAAGCTTTAAATGAAGACACTTAATTTGCCGGGCTAAGAGATGGCACTTCAGGTACTCATGAAAGAAGCAAGAAAACAAGCGTAGGCGTATGCCAAGGTAGTTGCTAAGGGAATGGTTCAAGAGGAGTGAAGGAGGTGGGAGTGTAGGAAGAGACAAGAACAGATGTAGGCTGAAATCTTAAGAGTTTGCATTAAGAAATGGAAACTTAATATACAACGGGTAAAAAGTCACAGGGGATATCATGTAAGAAGTGTTACAGAGGGAGGCTCGAGTGGTGGCAATATGGATGCATTTACAAACCAGTCAAGTAACCAAAAGAGGGGAAGAAGTGTTTTGCCTGTGGCAGCACTGACACAGAAAGACACTGGAGAGATCAGAATTAATAATAACATAAATAACAGCAATTACTCCGGTAATACTACATGCCAAAACATGCAGCAAAAACCGAAAAACTACAATCCAGATACTGAAAACTGTTTCAGAACAACATGTTAAGGGCAATTTCTCCTTGCAATTGAAACGAAGGAAGGAAAAGAATATAGCTGATGGGACTCTCGAATAAAGCACTGCAAGGAACAATTTGATTAACCTGGCGTGCGTGTAAGTGAATCGCAAAGCAAGCCACGGCTCTGCGCTGGGTTTGGGTGAGCGACACGAGGCAGGCGCGGCCCGGAGCGCGGACGGGGCTGAGCGCAGCAGCCGCGCTGTTGCTGCCGCCCTGAGGAGGGACGCGGGCACTGCCTCCCAGCGCAAGGTCTGGCAGACCCCTTGCGGCCTGAACTTCAATATTCCCTCAGGAGGCTGCCAGTGAATTGATTTCACAAAAGAGCTAAATAAATAGTATCGGTTTTAACAGCAACTGACTTGCAAAGTGTTCTCTAGTTTAGCGGGGAGAAAGAAAATAATATCTACCTTTGCTGTTAGCACTGTATTATGTTTTATTCTCATTCAGTGGAAAAGAAAAAACCTCTAGGACAGATTTTTATATACCAGTAAAACACATCTGGTGTGGGGAAGGGAGCAGCCACCAAACAAAACAGAGTGTATAGTATAACAAAAATGAGAAACCTTCTTCTGAACAACAAATGGCATCAAGTCTTTGCTATTCTTCAGGCAGTATTTCTCTACAGCAAACAGTCTGGAAAAGGTCAGAATCTAGTCATACTTATCAGGAAAAAACATTAGTCAACTTACTGGGAAAGGCACAATATGTTACAAAAATTCCTATCTAGGTTGCTCCCTCACATCAAAGAGCCCTCCTAGGAGGGACCCCTTGGGACCACCTAACCCAACCTTTTGCTCCAGCAGAGCCACAGAGCAGGTCACCAGATGCACAGAGTAATTGTAAAGAATAAAATGTGCACATAAAACTATTTCTTGCAACACTTTAAGTAACTTGAAGTATGTGATTCATCAAATAGGGCACTACTTGGTTGGTTGAGGGCTTTTTAAAGTGTGAGTAAAAAAACCCAGGGGCTAGGTGATACTTTTACCATCTGCTGTCCTGCAGGTATAATTGCTTCAGATTCTAACACATCTCAAGATGGGCCACGCAGGCCTGTGGACAGCTTTTCTACACTGGTATCACTTGCTGAAAAAGAAATGGGCTACAGGTGTGTCTGCAAGAGAGGGCACACAGAAGGCAATACTTCATATGGTCTGAAATACAATTTATAGAAAATCAGACTCACTTGCCACCCCAGATGCAATTCCATAGAGCAGTCCTCCTCCATCTGTTTGCTGCTGAAAGACGTGGGTCCCTGGAGGAGGGCTTCTCTCTTGTCTAATGAAATTATACAGCAAAGTTTTCACAAGTCTGCTGGTGTATGGGAGACTGGAAAGGAAAAAAAAAAATTTAGTTGACTCACAACTCACAAAATTTGGCACAACAAAGTCCAGGTAGGGTGCAAATGCTAGTGTTTGGCATTAAAGATGGTCAGTAACTCTCCCAATGCTGACAAGACTGGAAAGGAAAAGAACACCAAGGTCTTGCCCATGCAAAGCTGACCAGACTTCACCAAGGGTCTGAAGGAGCATTTTCCACAGCAGGATCATGAAAACTGCCTTCTGGGTTTTGTTTTTTAAGTACTACTTTTAAATAAACCATTTAGTTTGCCCTGTATTCACTTACCTCAAGACATAACTGGAAAAGAATTTATGCAATGGAAAGGAACGCTGTATTTTTTCAGTTTTCACTCCATGCTCTAGTAACACAGAAGAGGTACCAACAGCATCTTTCCACACCCACAATATTTTTGCTTGTGTGTGCAGCTCAGAACCAATCTTAAACATCTTTTCATACCTCAAAGATTCTATAACTCTAGGAATTTGCAAAGACCAATGAAACAACCAACCTCACATCAATTAATCTGAAAAATGCCAGTAGAATTTGTTGGGTTTAACAAGAAGGTTACAGCATTTCCAGAATGGAGTAGCATTTCCAAAACAGCAAACAGCTGACTCCAATTCCCATCTGATTTAGAACTGAAAAGAAGGAGCTCTGTTAGGATGGACTGCCTGACCATCTGTAGAATCCCAGCAGGTGAGGAGCTAATGTTCATGTCCCAAACACCAACAGCTTGGGCATGGTGTGGAGCCAACCAAGGGTTTTTGGGAATTACAAGCAAGCACTTGGTAGAAACACACCAGAGGAAGACCAGGATGTGGCTGGAGAAGGGGCCATGTGGGAGCAGGGCAGCATTCTAGGGACAAACCTCCTGGTTGTGGCTCCTGCAGGAAAGCACAGCCTGGCACAGGGACAGGGCCAGAAGGGCCGGGCACTGCAGGGGGAACTCTGAGCCCATCCAAGGGCCCAAAGCCCCAAACCATTTCCAGAAAGGCCTGAAGGAACCACTGTGAATGAGAACTGACTTGCACAAAAAGTGGGAAACTTCTCCCCAGGGAGTGGAAGATTTAAATGTGCCCCACAAAGCCCAGGGCCCCAGGACATCCCATCAGCTGGATCCACACTGGAGTCAGGACTGGTGATCTCTCTTGTTTTCTTCCTTTCTCTCTCCCCTTCTTTGATCCAGCCTCTCTCTCTCTCTGTGTCCCTTTCTTTCTCCTTTTACAGCACCCCCCCACCTTTATCCAAACCCCACTCCGCTTACACTGGAATATCAGGGACAAACACTGTTTTCCATGCCAAGTGTGTAATTTACTAATAAAATTTGGCAGATCCTCTGACTTTTGTCATTCCTTTTGATCATGAACATCTACAAACCCTGGGTGCTTCCCTCTCCTTAGGGGTGGGATGTCAAACCAGTATCACTCCACCTGTTCACATTGCTCTCGATTCCCAGCCACCAAATTCCTACATCTCTGTCCAGAGGTCAGGCTCCTCCTCCTCCCAAATCAGTAGATCACATACTAAGTCTTCCCCCAAACACTCCCCATTTTCTCCCAAACCCTTGATTCCTTCCATCCAGAGACTGAAGTAGCAGGATACCCCACACACCCTGAGGCTCAGGCCCTATCCTGCTGATGGTTCAGGCTGAAGTCTGCCCAGTGCTCCAAGCTGAGCCTCACTCCTTCCCCGGCATGTCACAGTAGTATCTGTCTCTTACACCTAGTAGAAACTTCAGGAAACCAGAGAATAAATACATTTATGAGAAATCTGTCCACATGGGACTTGAAATTGAAAGAGAATGAATGGGAGCCTGACTAAAATGCACGTAAGCCACCGTGCATTTGAACACAACCACCAACTTGCCAGAGCAAGTGGAATTACTCACACAACCAAGTCTACCCCCAGCTAAGTGCTCCCTTCAGCTCAGCCCAGCATGGGTACTCATCTTTCCAAGGACTGCTGCTTATCAGGACGGCAAGAAAGCCCTAGCATTTCTGAGGGACCTGAGTTCTCCAGGCTGCAGTGCTACAAGATTCGTTGTTCAATCAAAAAACCATCCTGAAAACTAAATACTGTTTAAAGTTAATGAAACTAACCTCAAAATATAAAAGCTATTTCCAAATTAGTTTTACTGAAGTCTGGGCTGTGAGATTTCCACCCAAATCCCTCCAAGAGCCTTTAGAGATGTTTGCTTTTGTGATCTCTTTTCTTTTGAGCAGAACAAATTTTCTATCAAGATAATATTTTGCTGCCTTCTGTTTTCAGGTACAAACAACCTAAAAGAATTTTCTTTGCCCTTAGGCAGCACCCCAGAGCAGGACCTACCATCGACCATGCATCAGGTATCTGTGAATGATGCTCTCTCGCAGGATCTCTTTGTGGAATAATTGGCAGGAGAGGAACACAATGAGAGTTGTCACGGCTTCCAAGGAAATGCTGTATGTAATATCTCTGCAGAATAAAGGGAAAATTACAGAGATTAATCTACTGGGTTGTTTACAGGCTGATTTCCAAGAATACTCGGTAGCTTCACCTGAAGTTATACACTGTGTAGCACAGAGAGATTCAACTGGGAACATGTAAACAACAAATTCAAGAAACTCAGAATCCTTTCATACCAAAAATGGATGTTTTTCTTAGAAATAAGCAATCTTTTCAGACACCAAAGGACAAAACAATGTGAAAAGAGGTATTGCTCATGGCATTCAAGTTGCAATTGATAGACTGACTATACTTCTTCCTCAAAATACTAAGTATCTCTCAAAAGTGTGTCCTTTGTACTATTAAACAAAATTGTCACAAAGCCATCATCCTAAGTGAGGGAATGAATGTCCAGCTAGCCCAACACAGCTCCATCTGCCAAGAAAACTGGATCCCTATAAGAAGATTGTTATCTACAAATGCCAGCTCAAGTGTACAAAATGCTCAGGGCACCAGGATACATTGCTCAGTTTTAAACGGTATTTTTGAGGTAACAGGGAAGTAGAAAATTTCAAAGTATTACAAGGTATTCAAGACAATCACAAAGAATGAGCTGCAATGCTTAAATACAGACACCAGACAGTTCAGCACAGTTCATTTAGCCCAGGTTCATTAGGAAAGGCTGTGCAGCAAAACAGATGACAGACACACTATTAAAAGTATCTTGTGCTTTCTCTTTCCACCTCTGCCTACAATGACCTTGTTACAAATCTGGTTTTTAAAACTGAGAGAAAAACGGCATTTGCCTCCTAAATCAGTAACAAATTGCAGACTGCAAGAAACTTTTTAAAACGCAATGAACTAACTTGGACATGAACAAGTATCATTCCTACTTTCAACCAAAGACCATTTTTATGTCCTCCAAAATGAGGTACTTCATTTGGTGCAACAGCACCACCCTGCAGTTCACCAGAAATATTGTTATCAAGTATTGTTATTGTTACCACAAGTTCTTTTAATGCTTCTCCCACTGTCATTATTTAATTTCCACAGTATGCTTCACAATCCAGTATTGCTAAGTTACAATGGTTTCCCTGCAACAGTTATCAAGGTTTTCTGACCTGGGACCTACTGGAAATTCAAAATCTGTTTATTATTGTCAAATGCAAATATTTAATAGTACCTCTATTTAAGATTTTTTTAAAAATCAAAACACCAACGAACAAATCAGCATCTATGTTATTTAATCAGTGGTGCTAAATTTTTCTTTGTTACAATGTCACCTTCCAAAAATTTTATTCTCAATAGTTAGAACAGGTATAAGCATAAAACTAAGTGCACTTTCAAACAATGATGATTTGAAAACTACAGTGCAATCTCCCGAAACAAAACAAATTGACCCCAGGAAGGACTAGATTTTCATTAGTCTCAGGATCAGAGCTGGTGTGGTCCTCACTAAAACACACAGCATTTTATTTAGAAGAAATCAGTCTAATTTTTAACACAACCAAATAGCTTAATATTCTCAAGCGTGCTGCCAGATATACTGCAAACAACACACATTACTGTCAAGTGTGAAAACAAGAATTTCATGCATCACAATGCACAGACAGCTTAAGTTAAGCTCTTCTGCAGCAGCTCCAGGCCAGAGTTTCTCCAGAGTGCAGTTATTTACTCAAAGCCAACAGCAAACTGGAATCACAATTTCCTGGATCACAATCCACAGAACTGCACCACCTCTCATACAAAAATGTTTTTAAAAATGAAGGTTGTGCATATTCACTGCCTTTTATTTTCTCTCACTTCATTTGAGTATTTGAACCCCAAACATTTGAAGTTATGGGCTGGGAAAGGACATACTGCCTAAGTAACATTTTCCTGAAAATCATGATGTCCTTTTGAATTACTTTTGCTCTCTGCAAGTTACCTGACTTTTTGCCCACTCCTGAGGAAGTTCGCCAGTGTAAATGCTGATAATTAGATCAGGCCAGAGGTTACACTCTGATCTGGTTCCACTGCAAATTCATCTGAGCCAGAAGCAAGGCTGCACTCGGAACAGTGCCCGCTCCCTCTCCGAGCCAGAGGAGCTGTGCAATCCGCCACCCACACGCATCCCAAAGAAGACTTAAATACATACATAACATCAAATTATCAAAGGCTCAGCCACGAGCAACAAAAAAAAAAAAAAAAGAGAGAAATGCTTTTCTATCAAAATAAAAGCAACAGTTTGGGAAAATACTTTTTTGATATTACAAGAAAAACATTCAGAAACTTATCATTATGACATCGGCTGAGAATACAAGAACAATGTCTCCTACCCCAAGGTGATGAATGAAAAGGGTAACAACTTCATGACATACTACAGCATGCACTGGCTCACTATTCAGAGAGGAAACAAATTTTGGGGTCTAGTATACTTTTTCTCCATTTCAATCATTCATTCATTTATTTTTATTATAACCCACACAAGTGGAATAGCAAATTTGAGGAAACATTACAAAATAATTTTCTGTTTTGACAAGAATCAGCATTAAAAAAATAAACTAAGAGATTACTGCACTTTATAAAGGAAAAAAAAAAATCTGCTTTCAATATTCTTATATAACTCACGACAGAAAAATACCAGAAAGGTAAATTCAAGCAGTCCCACTTGGTGAGTTGCTCTCATTTTCTCTAAGTTCAAAACCCAGACAGGGCACATTTAACTGTAGAAACACTCCACTCAAACCTTGGAATCTGTTCAAATTAAATCTGCTCTGACACAAACACAAACAGGGTCCTGATATCTGGGGTAACCCCTCAGGTCCAGTCACCCTTAATTTATCAGCATAATGATAAAGCCTCAGAGCAAAATTATTTTCTCCACCAAGGGTCAAATGTATGGTTTTCTGAAACTCAGGCATTTCTAAAGGATCACAAGAACTATCAGGAACTTCTTTCAACTTCAAAGAACACATTGTTTATTTATATTGAGAGACTATATAATAGGAGGACTTGGTTTTGATTTTTTTTTTATTTTATTCAAAGCTATCAGTCATATAGAACGACTTTACATGGAATTTATGCTGATCTTCAACTTCCCCTGGAAACTGTTTGCTTGCAGTTAAGGAGGAAACCAGAAATAATGAACTCATGTATCAATTGCATGTCAAAATTATTTAGCTACTTCTTTCAGAAAGCTAGAATAGCTACATGTTGTTTTGAGCTTCTGTGGCATTTTGTGGCATTCTCAAGTGTCTTGCAAAACAAATAAAAAAATCTACAGATAGAGCTCACACTCTATGCAAATAGAGATCACAAAGCAATGTAACAAAACATGCAGAGGTCTTTTCTTTCTCTTGTTCTGGATTTTCTCTTTTGGGGATTCATTAGTTATTCTCAATTTTTTTCCACTTATTTTCTCCTTCCCCTTCCCAAAGGGAGATATATTCCCATACCAGGTAGGTAAGTTAGCAGATACTGCAGGTCTGTCTCTCAAAAGACATCTCGAGTCTTTCACATGGAAAGAATCTGAGACAGACTGAGGTCCAGAACTCACAGCAATCGTTTCTCTCCCTTATCCCAGGCAGCTGTTCTCCTGGAACACCCCATGCCTGGAATGCCCTCCTGGTACCACCCCTGGCATGCAGTGACATCCTGGCACTGGATGGAGCAGGCCCAGGTTCTCCCATGAGACACCTGAGCTAAAACTGATTTCTGGCAACTAACCTTATACATAAACATGTACTCTCTGAAGAAAATACAGATCATGTCATATCTATCTGAGATTATGTTAAATAATGAATTCTTCATAGAATGAGGAACTCCAAAATGCAAGATTCCCCAATACCAGCATAACAAATCTGTGTATTTAACAGGTGTTTGGTGTCTACATTTCAATGAAAAACTGATACATCAATGGATTCCATCCAAAAGCAAGTGATGCCAGATCATTTCAATTAATTTTTTTTAATTAAACGACTACAGAGTTGTATGATTTATAATCATAAATAAATCAGTAACCATTAGATAACAACTCATTAAATCAAAAGACAAAAATTAGAATAACAGAATGGTTTGAGTTGGGAGGCACCTGGAAGCTTATCCAGTCCCATTCCCTACCATGGGCAGGGACACCTTCCACTATCCCATCGCGCTCCAGCCTGGCCTTGGACACTTCCAGGGATGGAAAGTCCATGGCCTCTAAGAAATAAATTCTACTGAGTCAGACCACATTCCATTTTAATCTGTGTTGTCAGGTAGGTAACAGAGATCCTGGGCTCCTCTGGGACCTCTACAGCTGCTTTAAAGCAGCACTGCATTTAGACATACAGCAGTACTTCTTTAGAGAAATTGGTGCAGTACCTAATTCTTCCAACACGTGGATTGGAGAGAGTATCACTTCTCTTCTGGTCTTCAACCAAGAACATACATTTTAGTTTATTTATTTTATTTATTGACTTTGGTGACAAACTTGTAAATCAGAATCATCAAATCCTAGGCTGGTTTGTTTCAGAAAGGACCTTAAAGCTCATCCAGTTCCACCCCTGACACAGACAGGAACACCTTCTGTTAGACCAGGTTACTCCAAGCCCTGTCCAACCTTAGCCCAAATACTGTTCCCAAATGATGCAATCACCCCACACAGAACAATAAAAAAACTATGATCCTGTTAAAACCACAACTCCTCAGTATCCTGGCATCTGCTTTATCCATTCAAAACCATGGGGATGACCTCCTATCAGCATCACCTACCAAGAACTTCAACAATCTACCTATGTGTCACCATCCTGCTGCTGCTGGCTTCTCTCCAAGGCCAAGCACTGCTCACAAGTGCTTTCTATGCTCCCAGTCATTCAGCTTTGTTCCCTGCCTGTGAGAGAGAGGTCTGTGACAGAGGAACCGAGGTGAAGCACAGAGGCACCATAGAGGAAAATCTCAGTTACAAACTCCAATTAACACTCTGAAGGCACATGCTGTTGTAAACACTTTAATTACTCCGTGAAAAGGAGCTGTTTCTATATCAGCACACAGAGGCTGGGAGCTCGTAA